CTCTTTCCTACCAATAGAGGTTAGTTTGGGTTTTTTTTGGGTGGGGTTTGCAGTTTTTGGCTGGGGCTGGGTTTGAACCCTCCACCTTTGGTATATGGGGCCGGTACCCTACTCCTTTGGGCCACAGGTGCCGCCCAAGTAGATGTTAGTCTTTAAAATACTAGTTGTTAGAGAGCAATGGTAGTCTCCTTTCTTTCAGAGAAAAAAGAAAAGGAGCAGAGTGCACATTCAAAGACCTACCAGGAAGGCCTGACTCTGAAACATCCAAGCTATGTAATCTTGTGTGGGACTATCTGACCTAGGTACAATCTAAAACCAAGGAGGATGGTAGCATCCCAACTTGACTTACAGAATTATTGCAAGGACTAAATAAGATCTACAGTCAGATTTTGGTAAAACAAATTACATAGGACAAAAAATGTAAGAAGCAAAACAAATAAACAAATAATACAAGCAAGACTCCAAATTATAGAAAAAAATAAGGACATACAAGAGTAAATAGGACTACTGGTTTATGGAGTAAATTTTGCTCTTGAAGAAAAGAAACCCCAAAGGGCTTACATCACCTGTGAATATTTAAAAACTAACAAACAAACAAACAAACCTCCCCCCCGCCAAAAAACCCCTCCCTTCTTTAAAAACTACATTAGGTTTTTCAGGCTATCTAGAATACCACTGTGAATCCACACAGTACACTCCACAGTGGTCCCCTTGGCTGCAGTGTACTAAGTTTGGATGTGAGATGGAAGGGGAATTGAAGACCTAATGTCCTACTGAAAGTGTTCACGGACTCCAGGGAACATTAAAGCTTTATCACAGGGTTATTGATAAACTCTTTAAAAGTTCTTAATTTCTAATGTCAAAGTCACTTATGTGTAATTTGGAGCTAATTCTCCATTTTATCATTAATAAATTGCTTAATGAACATGCTACAGAGATAAATGAAAAGTCTAAGAAAAGGAGAGAAAACAGTAGAAATAGCTCAGGATTTTCCTTAAGAAAAAAAGATCAATACCGTATTTGCCATTTGCAAGGCAGGATCCATCAAGCCCAGGATTTCTTCATTATAACTTGATTCTAGGCTAATGATGTCATCAATTACATCATCCATCTGTAGGAAAAAGAGCAATAGAAGAGAGACAGAAATAAACAAAAACTATGCAATACAACCCAAAAAGAGATCCATGGTCTTTTCTTACCCAAAATAAGCATACTCTTTAGTTAGAGTCTAACAAGCATCTATCCATTCCCCGCTAATGTTAAATATTACTGAAGACCATACACTACTGATGAGTGTTGAGATGGTCATAAGAATGATACTCGAAGCCAACATTAAATGAGCGATTACTAGATACCAAACACTGGGTTCTGGCATTTTCCTAGGCTAAGTTATTATCCTGACAACAACCCTACCAGGGAAGATGCTATATCGTTTTAGTGATTAGTGGTTTTCCAGGTGAAATAAATGAAAAGCAGCTTGACCAAAGTCACACATTGAAGAATGGAGCAACAATTTAACCCATGCTCTCAATAACTATGCAGACTGCCTTCCCTAACAGGAAAGATGAAACTTCATCTTGAATGATGGCTGACACTTTCTTTTTCCCTAAAGACCATGCCTCATACCCTTCCCTCATCCTGCTTGCAGAAGGTTTCACAGGCACGTGTGGACAGTGGAGCACAGGCCACTGCCTAGCCCTGCACTGATTTTTCAGGGACTTGTAAAATAAGTTTCTCCTTGTACAGCTGCCAGTGTGCGCAGTACTCCCTGAAGACTGCACCAGGACGAGGTTATCATTACAGTCATGGAGCTGACATTCCCACTAGATCAATTTTATTCCTGAAGTACCAAAACATCAGTTACGATAATAAACAACGGTGATTACATGTGCATTGCAGCAGTTGCAAAGACAAGTCTGTGAAAACATTTCTTTGTAAACACGTTATATATTTGAGCTAGATGGTGGAGGTGCTGAATAGAGCTTGCTAGGTACGTGATGACATCTCAGGACACACAGAGATTCCCCTCTGTGTCTTCCTGACAGTTCCATTAAAGAGCATGGGGCTGAATCCTGGTTCTCTACCCCTTTAGATTAAGGGCAAGGCCTCTAATTATTAAGAGCTTCAGTTTGCCAATTTAAGAAATGGAGGGGTTAATAATATTTATTGCCTTATTGGATTTTTGTGAGATTTCAGTACAAACCATATAAAGTGGTCACAGTGCCAGGAATACAATAATAAATACTCAAAAAGTGAGTCTCATTAAGTGATCTCCGAGAAGAATAACTGGCGGCCAGGTAGAAACCGCTGCTAGCACACCGTCAGTTCCCATTTCCAGGGACACCACTGCTATTCATCTTGTTTGTCTTTAAGAGTTTCTAACCAAGTTAGTCAATAAGCAGTTAGGCCAAGGGACTGACAAAGACCCCTTCTTTGTAATGTTTAATTTTATTTTGAGGAAAGTAAAATGACTGAGCTTGAAGTGATAGAATTTTAAAATAATTTCTTTCTCTTCAGAAAAAGTAGTGCAATTTGATAGGAAATACAGAACACCAAAAACAAAAAAAAAGTCTTCCATTGGTTATTAATCTCTAGTATGTCTATATACACACATAAATATATAAATGGAGATAGCACAATTTATGTGTCCATTAAATAGGATGTTATAAAAGAATCTTTAATTACTTGGGAAAATATCCATTAAATATTACTAAATTAATAAACATAGTTTCAAAATGTATGTTCTACGATATTCCATTTATAAAACCATATGTGGATCACATATACACTTCTTGGTTTTACTAATATTCGATGACAATTGTTACCCTACAAATTTGCATAATATGCACTGATGATGGCATATACATACACCAATGACATGTAATATTTTATATCTTATTTAATACAATTTAGGAATTTTAAGCACTTTTTGGTGATTTAAAGCAACTGAGGAGAAAAGCACACTTTAATTTCCTTAGTCATTATTTAATCATGAGATACTATGAAAAAAAATCGCCCTGTTCATAGTTTTCCCCATTTAAAATAAATAAATAAATAAATGGGGGTTGAAAAAGCCTTTGAGTCATCAGGCAGGTGTGATTATCCACAAATATAGATTCTTGTTACAAAGTGTGACATCCTCGGCTGCCGAGCTGTTCAGTACCTGCATACACGACGCTCGCGAATGTGCGTTCATCCCCGGGCACTCACTCTCTGCCCTGTTTTGCTCTTCGAATTTATAAAATCCCTGCAGAAACAAAAGCAAAAACATCCCATGACTTGGATTTGCAAAATGACTTTTCAATGCCATGTTCACATGAGCCTGACGACACAGCAAGGAGATGAACTAAGCTTTCAAACAAAGTGGGATTGACCAAGAGACGGAAAAATGGAGGAAGAGCTTGTGGCCAACCCTCTCACTAGATGACAAGTCCAGACGGAGGAAGATAACAAAATACCCTCAGTTTGGGCGCAGAGGAAAAGACTTAGTTCCTCCAGAAGTGAGGAAATTAAAATCAATCCAACGTGAGAAAAGTTACCTCTGAACTCGCATTAAAAGTCCATTAAAATGAAGCTCATCATCTCATAATTGGGAAATAACAGGCATTAAATCACAACTCTCCTCTCAAGTATTTTAATTCTCCAATTTTTTTTAATAATCCCCCAAATTTTGATGCAGCAATTAGCTTGAAGGTATGTTTGAATCTTGTCTCCAATCCAGCCTTGACAAAAGCAGATTTAATGGGCAGCGGCAATTTTAACATGGAACAGAATGCAGCCAGAAATTAAACCTCTATCGCTCCTTGGCCTTTTAGCTAAGCTCAAGTGCAAAAATTCAACTTTTGTTTTTGGGTTAAATTCTCATGTGCTATATTATTCAAATGCATCTACGTACACGCTATGCTTTTCTTTTCAACTCACAGAGAAATAAAAATAATATCCCAGACACTCACAACAGCGGCGCTTGGGGGCCGCTGTCCCACACCTTTTCTATCTTCGCCTTCCCTTTTCCACCTCCCCTTCTCCTCTCTGCATTTTCACTGCTCTGTAAAAGGCATGAAAGAGAAGACGCCACTCGGCTAAGGAGGAAGGAAGCAAGTGGCAAGAGAAAGTGTCCCTGCCTTCCCGTTCCAGTTACAGCGAGCCCCGTCTCCGGTCCTATGCTCTAAACCCGACAACCCAGAGACAGGGCCAGGAAGCAGGAACGCCACTGCCACGCTGGGGCACTGGGGGCAAAGGCTGGCAAACGTGGCCATGTGGACAGACAGACTACAGTCCACAGTTAAGTGCAGGAATAATTTCCAACAGACAAATTATTCAGAGTAAGAAAAGGAGAGGAGAGGAGAGGAGACATGAATTACCTCTTTGTCACAGTTGGAGTTAAGCGTAAGCATAGCCATGGGGCTGTTGGGCGCGCTGCTCCCCGGCACTGGAGGCATGACATGATCGCCAGGCTGGTTTGGACATGGTAAGCTCAGGACTTGGTTGGCATGTTTATTTGCTAAAGTGGTAGAAAGGTACTGCTTTACCTGCTGCCTTTGGGCTTGCTGTATGTGGTACTTGGTGGGGTTTTCGAGGTGAGTCTGCACCTGGACATAGCCAAGGAGGGAAAAGAAGATGGCATTGTTATTTTTGAGTTGCAGACAGTTCCCTCTTTTAGGCACAAATATGAACCTGACTAGTCCTCCAAGAGAATAAATTAGTAAGCCCCTGTCACGTACCAGGCACTGTGCTAATGGATTTTGATACTACTGAAGTTGAAAGTCTAACCAACTCGTAGGATTTGGGGTAATACTTTGCCCTATTTTATTGCCCTCCTAACTAATTATACATCCCTTTCAAATCTTGTGTTCTTCTTCTCAAATCTAATAATTAAAAGTTTGAAACTATCTGTAGGGCAAAAATTTCCCCAACACACTTGAAAGGGTTTATTAAGATCAAAACAACCATCCAGAAGGAGTTTTAACTCAGTTCATTTCACTTTCATGGGCAAACAGAATAATTTTCTGCTTTTTATTTTTTTAACAAAAAAACTCTTTAAGAACCAACTGTAAAATGGTTGTAGAAAATAAACACAAACATTCCAACAATTAAATCAAGTGGTTGTAGATTAATTCCTCCCACTTTCCCTTAGATGTTATTATTCAACATTTTAGTTAGGAAAGAATTCAGGGTAAAAAAGCAATTTCCCATCCAGCAGTTTCTTTCAAATGCATAACATTTAGATGTATGCGTTTTTAAAGGCATAACTATCAGTAATCCACCAGGATTGTTTTTCTCCTTTCCTGTAAACGTTAATACGGAGTTAGAAACACTTGTATTCCCAAAACTATGATATTCAATTTTAAGACACTTTTCCCCAACCTTATGAATAAGAGCTGATGAAGAGATTACAGCCACACACTAGGGAAAAAAAATGTCCTTCTAAGATTTATTTTGTTCAAAACTATATTGAATTACTACTTCAGTCACCAAACAATAATAAGCAGCATTAAAAGAGTAGATTTGTACTTATTGAGAACACTGTGCCTATTACAGTAACGCAAAAAAAGGTAGATTAATCTATTTATTGCATTATATTTCAGAGGCTGAATACGAATAACAATCAAGCTCACCTGATAGTGATTATATTCTAGCATTTCCAGCATAACAACGTTGTAGGTGGCCCCAATCCAACGAGAAACGGTAGACTATTCCTCCCTCTACTTTCTGTATTTCCAGTTCGAAGACTAACTGGCATAGAGAAGCCACTATAAACGAGGTATCCCGAGACACCGCCGGAAACTTTATCACAGCAGCCCTGCTTATAATAACCTAAGCTAATTAGTTATGCATGTAAAAAAAAAAAAAGACTGTTCACACAAGGGGCTTTTTTTTTTTTTTTTAAAGACCTACAAGTTTGGTCTTAAATATTGATACCAATTTTCCCCCCTGGCTTGACGTCACGCTTTTTTTCATAAATATAAAAGAACCTTTTAAAGTGATGAGCTACCAAAGTCAAACTCACTGTCAGATCAAGGCCAATTCACTATTCATCTTTAGTTCCAGTAGTATTAATAGACAATGGTATTTCTCTTTCAGGAATAGGTTAATAGCGGGATGCCCCCTTTGCAGGAGACATCGCCTAAAAGCTACTATTACACTAGACTTTTCTAATGGCCAAATAACTGCCCTTCCAACGGCAGGATGACCATCTTTCAGTATGGCAGAGGTTCTGTGCTGAATTTTCAAGTCAAAAGCCTCTTCTTGCATTCTGGTCTCAACAGGCGCCTCCTCGCTCTTAGCAAAGCGGATGTGCAACTTGCCTACTGACCTCACATCATGGAGGGGGGACTATTCTCAATAGAATGTGAAACACACACTAACACAAAGAAATAAATGCGTATTTATGTGGAAAGGAAAAAGTAAACGTCTGTCTCCAACTTAACTCTTGAATGAGGAAGCATGAACATTTTTACTGAAAACAGGTATTTACTGAAAATTTTACAATTCTTGAATCTACAAAACAAGTCATCACAACTGATAGATGTATTAACTCATTTATTTCCTGTTACTATGTGCTAAGTGCTATATAGAAAGCACAAAACATACATTGTGAACACACAGAAAACAGATGGAATATCAGCTTTGTGAAACTTCCAGTCTGAGGAGAGGCAAAAGGAAAAAAAGAGCCAGACTAACATATATCTAAAAATTATGATGAACACTTAATACTCACTGCTGAAAAGAGACGATATTTTAAGCATAAAACTGTGAAATGCAATAATTTTATCCACATGCCCAAGATAGTGAAGTCCTTTAGGTTGGCAGTCTTATATTCTTTCAAATGACTGATATAACATGCACAAGGTGGTTCACAGAGGCATTTTCAGTTTCATAAAGGGTCCAGACATGATAATGATGGGGACAAGAGACATTACTAAAATAAACATAAAATGAGGCCAGTGAGTGTGATGTGCTTATTTCACTATTACACTTAAAAAAGAAAGAGCTGCACATTTAAAAATAAATGTTAATTCACTGGCACATCCTTATTCTTTAATGAATCAGGATATGATGCTTTCGTAAGGAAAGAAGCAACCTGCTCTCAATTTGGTGTTGTCAATGAGGTCTTTACTACAGCTGGGACTGGGTAAGCACAGTGGGATGTATTTTGTTCTTTTCCTGCCAGTGTCTTTTTAGTTTTTAAGTAAGTTAGACACTGATGGCCTAGAAAGACCATGCAGTAGACAGAACATCTCCAACTGTTTCTAACCCAAACACTTCAAACAGGTAACATAAATGAGGGACATGAGCTGTGAGGTGAGGTGATAAGGAGTGGTGGGGTCTGTGGCAGGCTAGAGGATATATGTCTCACCTAAAGCGAGCAGGGAGTCTAAGCTTCAGCTACTATGGCCACTTGGGAACACCAGTTCAGTCTAGCTAGATCTCCCAATTTTTCAAGGGTAGTTGGCAATCTGAAATTTTTTAGTGAAATCCTCTTAAGTTTAAAAAGTGGACACCCCCTTGCTTTGCTTTTCAGATAGTAAAAGACTAAGCCTACAAACCACTAGAACATGATCTCTGTTTTACACTGTCTATGAGAATAGTCTTCATATTTATATTCCCTGGAGGATGGCCTAGGTTTTGAGGAGAAGTTCCTCCTCTGAGAAGCTGATGTAAAAATCCAGGTGTTCCTGGCACTTCTTTGAGGAACAACCTGCTTGACAGCACAGTTGGCAGAGTAGTTAAGAACTTGAAACCCAGGTTCAAATTCTGGCTTTGCAGCTTACTGCACATGTAACCTTCTGCAAGTCATTAATTCTCCAGGCCATCGTCCTCATGTATTCGGTGGAAATGACAATAGTGCCTTTCTTACTGGGGTGTTTTCAGCATCAAATGAGATTCCATCTCAAACGGTCTTAGCAAAATATCTACAACAGCCGTCCTTGCACTTTTTGTCTTTGACCCTTTTGCACTCTTCAAATTCCTTGTGTTTATATGGATCCATTAATATTTATCATGTTAGGCATTAAAATTGAGAAATCTAGAAAACATCAGATTACATACATAGCGTTTGTCTCAGTGGATGTCAGAATGATGACATCTTACCATGTCACATAGCCTTTGAAAAACTCTACTATATACTTGTAAGATGAGGGTAACAAAGAAAAATAACATCTTAGTATTATTTTGAAATAGTTTTGAGGTGGCAGAACCCCTGTAAGGGTGTTGAAGACCACCAGGGCTCTCTGACCAAACTTTGAGAACTGCTAACCTACAACATTGGTTAGTACTCTAGCATCATAACCACCCCAGTGAGGTCACTTCCCTCTGTGGACAGGAGGCATGGTACATGGCCTCTGCAGGTCCCTCCTCCTTCACTCAAAGATGCTGTAGAAAGATACTCACCCTATCTGAACTCCTTCAAAGCATCGTGATGAGGCTCTATGGTTCTTTGAACATTGTGAAAGTTATATGAATATAATATTCTGTTGTCAACTATCCCGACTCAAAGCTTTTTAGTTAGCAACTTCATTTTCATCAATTTTAAATTAGCAGATCAAACAAGCATGGAAATGAGAACATATATTAAAGGGGCCAGAAACATCTTCATGGCTTCCTGATAATCTCTGCAAGTAACTTCAAATCAACAACCCACATTCAGGAATTCAGATAGCAAATGTTGGGTATTCTGAGCAGTTGAAGCATAGACCACAGAATAAAGCTGGGACATGTACTCTAATCACAGTTTAGGATTTGATGGAAGTGTCTTGGATTGTGTATGAAAACACCACACTGTACCCCCAAAGTGCATCAATGTACACAGTTACCATTCAATAAAAAAAAAAAAAGGATTTATTGATATAATTTTTATTTCATATAAATTACATTAGATATCTGAATTAAAGTGCAAAAATCCAAAGGCTTTGGGATTCTTTTTCAATGCTGCTCCTATCTTTTTGCCTTTTTTCCCTTCCTTCATTCAGATGTTGGCCTGATAGCAGGGGAATTGGAACGGATCATCACCTGTCACACTTTAGTATCACCACTTCCTGGGTAACACTGACAGCTTCATTCTAAAGAGATACTGGGGGACGTCAGATGTCAATGTAAGATGGCGGCTATAGATACTACCATCCTGGCTGAGTAAAGAATTCACTGGGGGAAAAATCCCCATCAGGACGTCCACTCTTCTTCTAGTCCCTCGACTATCTGTAAAAAATAATCTGATTGATGTTCTTAAACAAATGGACAAAGTGTTCAGATTTCTCATCTTATGTTTAGGGAGAGAATTTGTTCTTTTGCTCAGTAAGTTTAAAATATTAAAGGGATTATCATTTAATCAACTGCTATCCACCAGTGCCAGCAGATCCACTGTTCTTTTCATACTGTTTCTTAAGTGGCAATTTACAGAGAAGGTCAAACATGTAATTACAACCTCTGAAAAAAATGGTAAAATAGAAAAAGCCAGACCAGGTGTGACGGCTCACACTTACAATCCTAGCACCTTTGGAAGGGGTGGGCAGTTGATTCCTTGAGCTCAGGAGTTTGATACCAGCCTATGCAAGAGTGATAACTGTCTCTACCAAAAGTAGAAATTAGCCAG